TAACGTATATTTTATCAGAATCGATGTTGTTTTATTTCATTAAAAATCTGTTACTTGTTTCATCAATATTTTTGTAGCGTTTTTATCAAAATTTCGCCTAGGTTAAATTAATGAAGTCTTAGTTTCAGTATGATAGCCTATAACTAATTTGAATTAACGACAAAGTTTTTTTTTCAATCATTACCTATTCAGTAAACAACACATCATTTTTTTTGTCTCCTATCCAAATTAATCTCTCTCTCTCTCTCTTTCTCTCTCTCTGTTAAGACTAACTATCATGGGAAAGGAGAAACAGGCATTAGCACATCAATATCACATGATAATGAAACTTCAGAAACGAAATACATTAAAATAATAACAAATAAAATCACATGGAAAACAGATGTAGTGAGACCTAGTTTACAGCTAGGATCCAAATGTTATTAACAATATCGTATTTCACATAGAACTGAGGACACAGAATAGTATTTTTTCATCTCTCTTTTTCTTTCTACATTTCTAGTACACTGAATGGAGATTGTAGCGAATTTATTACACTGCAGTTTTGTACCCTCGACATTCGTCCTTCAAATTCATCCCCTTGCGTGTGGAAATAATTCATTTGAGCAAAGAAGTGTTGAGATATATACCGATCGATTTTTTTTTGTAAGAGGGAGAGTGAAGGAGGGAGGTAGAGGGAGAAGGAGAGAAGGGGGTGGGGAGTAGGAGAGAGGGGAGTATGAACTGGGAAAGAGAGATAGAGAAGGGAGAGGAGGAGAGGGAGAGGGAGAGGGAGAGGGGGAGGGGAGGGGGAGGGGGAGGGGGAGAGGGAGGGAGGGAGGGAGGGAAGGGAGAGAGAGAGAGAGAAGAGAGAGAGAGAGAGAGAGAGAGAGAGAGAGAGAGAGAGAGAGAGAGAGAGAGAGAGAGAGAGAGAGAGAGAGAGAGAGAGAGAGAGAAGAGAGAGAGAGAGAGAGAGAGAGAGAGAGAGAGAGAGAGAGAGAGAGAGAGAAAAAGAGAGAGAGAGAGAGAGAGGAACACGAAAGACTGATCTATTAATCCCCATTTTGCCAAAATGATTCAATATAATACACAAATATACCTACCTGAAAACACACAAGAACTATCCCTTATCCTTTCATACAACACTTTAAGCACAAAATCACCATAAACCTAAGAATCCACACCTCGAACCTCATTGTACATTGGAACAAGTACTACCAGGAACAACATAGAAACATCGCACTGAACTCAACCCATTATTCCCGCATTCCCCATTAGTATCCAGATCCAAAATATCCTAAATATATTTGTTTTATATTATATATGACGTTGCGTGTTTTGTGCGCGCGCGCGTGTGTGTGCGTATGTATGTGTGTGTATGTATGTGTATGTGTGTGTGTGTGTGTGTGTGTGTGTGTGTGTGTGTGTGTGTGTGTGTGTGTGTGTGTGTGTGTGTGTGTGTGTGTGTGTGTGTGTGTGTGCGTGTGTGCGTGTTGTGCGTGTGTTGGTGTGTACGTGTGTGTGTGTGCGAGTATGTGTGTGTGCGTGTGCGTGCGTGTCGTGTCGTGAGTAGAGTATATATTCACTTTTTTTCACTTCCTAAGAGTCTACCATCCACTTACCAGCGCCGAAAGTAGGGTCCAGGAGCCGCCAGGAGCCATACAGGAACACAGCAATCCAGAAGTGCAGAGGGTCCGTCTCAGGGTCAAAAAGACGCCCAATTCTGCGGTGGATTGAAGTGGAAGTCGGGAAGATTAGTGGATTTAAGTGGAAGTCGGGAATGGTGGATTTAAGTGGAAGTCGGGAATGGTGGATTTAAGTGGAAGTCGGGAATGGTGGATTTAAGTGCGGGAATGGTGGATTTAAGTGGGTCGGGGTGGATTTTAAGTGTCGGGAAGATGGATTTAAGTGGAAGTCGGGAAGATTAGTGGATTTAAGTGGAAGTCGGGAAGATTAGTGGATTTAAGTGGAAGTCGGGAATGGTGGATTTAAGTGGAAGTCGGGAAGATTAGTGGATTTAAGTGGGAGTCGGGAAGATAAGTGGATTGAAGTGGAAGTCGGGAAGGTGGATTTAAGTGGAAGTCGGGAAGATTAGTGGATTTAAGTGGAAGTCGGGAATGGTGGATTTAAGTGGAAGTCGGGAATGGTGGACTGAAGTGGAAGTCGGGAAGATTAGTGGATTTAAGTGGGAGTCGGGAATGGTGGATTGAAGTGGAAGTCGGGAAGATTAGTGGATTTAAGTGGAAGTCGGGAATGGTGGGTTTATGTGGAAGTCTAGAGTGGTGGATTTAAGTGGAAGTCAAGAATAATGGATATAAGTGGAAATCAAGAATATTTTATAAAAGTGGAATTCAAGGATAGTGGATATAAGTGGGTCAAGAATAGTGGATTTAAGTTGAAGTAGAGAATAGTGCGTCCAAGTAACGTACTTCCAGTGATATTATTTGATGATGATAATGATGGCGAAAGTAGAAATAACAATGACGATAAAAGTAATGAAAATAATGATGATAACAGCGGC